ACTTCCTGTCTGGTTTTCCCGCCTATACTGCCTGCCTGGCCAATCAGCGTTTTATTAAAATATGATTGACAGAATACAGACAATCCTCCCACATCATGCTACCACCCGTAACAGGCTGTACCCTCTGGCATCAATCACTAACTAAGAAAGTGCCCCACGGGCCTGCACATTTTCTCAGTGGAGGCTCCCTCCTCTCTGGTAACTCTTGGCTTGTGTCAAGTGACATAAACTACCCGCACAGTCATTTAGGGCTATTTTCCCCGGGGTTCCTATGTCTAGGTTCCATTCCAGAGAGTCTAGTCTTTAATTTGGGAATGAGTTTGTAAGTCTAACTACCATGTTTCTGCTGCCTACGTAGAGCATATTCTTGTCCCTTCTTCCATACATAATTCTTTCTCCTGGTCACTGATGAAGGGTTATGTACTGAATTAATATCTCTTACCGTGGTGTCTAGCTCTGAAGCATGATTGACCATGTTTTATTAATTTATAAACATTCATTCTCTGTTACCTCAAAGAATAGCATGCATATATATATATATATATATGGATAAAAATAGCTAGAGAATGATTTTACTACTGTCTCATTCATGGAAGAAGGGATATGGAATTAATCCTAGAAGTATTCAGTACTAATGTTAAGTCCTTAATTGGCACTGCAGACAGGGCTGAGTCGCCCTTTGCTGTCTCCTACCTCGCTGGTGGCTGGAAGTAACCGCTCCAGGTCTCTAACGAGAGACCAAATGGAGTAATTTAAATTTAAATAGAAATTCCAGTTCTAAAGCTGGAAGAGATTTTTTCCAGTTGATTTACTCTTTCCTGAGTTACACAAAGAGCAAGCTGTTGTAGCTTCAGTTTAGCTGGAGGACAAGTGCAAGCGTGGGTAAGTGGGTCCATGAGAGCCCAAAATTAAGGGAGATCAAGTATTTATTGGGGGACACTCACAGATAACCATAAGGTAGAGATCCACCGGGGTCCCCTGCCCTTGGGGGCACTGAAAGCTGCGATCAAATCTCCAACCACCACACAAGAGAGCAAGCACGCTGCTTCTCTGTGCTTAGCAGTCCACAGACTACACCCAAAGGGCCGGAACCTCTAAAGGTACTGGCTGAGTGAATTCCCACAGCAGACAAGTAGAGACTTAAGCGTTTCTTGCCAGCGAGTCCACATCCGTGAGTTCTAGGAGAGCGTCTGAGCTGTGGGGGGCATTCCTGTTGTAATGTTTGAAATGTGTATTGTTTCTACTGCTTCTCATGTGCGGCCCATTACCGCTCATTCACTTCCGCTACCCACTGTAATGCTGCCACTCTGTTTTCCTTATTCCTAGTGTATTTGGGATGGGACCTTCGGTGCTTTTCCCGCACTCTTCAGTCTTTAGGACTAACCTTAGGAGGCAGCAGAGATCTGTGACAACAGGTGTTCTGTCTCTTGTTATCGGTATTATGTGTTGGAAATCGCTTGGGGTTGGCTTTCTGGCTACTAACAGGAGTGTTAGGCTACTGTGAGTTGTCACAGCGGTGTGTTTGGTTTTTAGTTTCACACGCTTGCCTTGGGAAACTCGGGTGCAATGCTGAGAGGTGTGCAGCTCACAGGAAGGGTTTGTGTTTACTCTTGCTTTAAGCCACATTAAATAGCCAGAACTTTTTGTAGGAATGCGATATAAGCAGACATCAAGGACAGCCAGGGGAAAAAGAAAGTGTGAGCAAGAGAGCCCCTTAGAGCAGGATGCCTTGTAATTTACTGTACTTAGCCTAGTGCCTGGAGCCATCCAGAGGATAACCCCACCTGTAAAGCACAGCCTAACTTTGCTTGCCTGACCACCTCCAACATTAGTTTAGCACTGCTTCCCCCTCCCAAGAGACGAGAAGCAAAAGAGGTAAATTTTCTGTTATTTCCTCCCCTTTCCTGAACAATGTGTTTTTTTCTCCCTTATAACTGAATTTCCCATATAACCCTACCTGATGTTCCTGTAAGAGCAGGTAGAATAGCGGAGATACTACCAAAACCTGAGAGCAAGCAGCTAGGAAGAAATCGCTAACACGAAGGAAGCCATAAAAAGGAGCGAGAATATGATGTCAAGCACTTCACAGCTTTCTCCAGGGACCTGTCCTTTTCCTCTTGCATAAAGCCGCACTCATGCAAAGAAAATCCAATTCTTTAGATAAGTGAAACGTTCTGCTTTCTTGAATTGTGTGGTTTGGTTACATATTTTACACCTGCATAATTTCAGTGGTTCATGTTGTGCATGGCATCCTTTGTCCTTGGAAATGCATCTGGAATGTTGCACTGCTGCAGAAAGGCCTGGACAGCTGCACTACCAGCCTGTGCTGCTGACTGTAGACTTATGATTCAAACCAAAGTATTCTAAGGGCGCAGTGGCTCCCGTGCTCAGCCGCTTCCGCTTAGATGGCAGCCAGAGGCTGGGGGAGAGGTGACAAGTTTCTTTCTTTTCACCTGTGCTACAGGAAAGCTCGGTTGGCTGATGAAGTACAGGTCTTTACTGTGCTCCTTGGCCACTCTCAGTAGCATATCTGCATGCATTTCATTATGAAGTTCTCATGTCTACAGAACATCCTTCCCTTTGCCACTAATGATTGTTTTTCTTTTTTCTCTGCCTGCATAGAACTTGGGAAACAGTGAAACTCACAACCAGGAAGGGAAAATCTGCTGACGGTATGACTATTATAACTCTCTTTATGACGGAAGCTAGCGCATGAGATTATAAGCTATAACCAAAGACCTCAAAGCAGAATTACCCTCAGCTAGGATCTTTTATACATATACTCACGTAGTCTTCAGTTTTTACAGTGTTATGTTTTAGAACTTTCTGTATAAGTAACTTCTGGCTCCCGTTTTCTAAGCTAAGGGCAGCTTTTGAAGGAAAGATGTGTTAACCTTTATAGGCAAACATACGGCAGTATAATTTGAAGGTACATGCTGTGTCTTCGTGTGTTAGGACCACTGGAGCCCTTCGTACTCTGAAGGTGAGTGCCTGAATGTGTGGTGAAAAGATCGCCCACCTTCATGCTTCAGTTGAGAGGAAAGAGAATTGGGAAAGGGCTTCTGTCCACCTTCCCTTCTAGGCATAAATGACTTGGCTGTAACCACACCAGAAACATCCTGGTAGCCACATGTGGTCTGGAAAAGCAGAGCTTTTTGCTTTGCTATCTTGGTTTGGTTTGTCTTTGTAGGAGGCAAACAGTTGCCTTGCTCAGCTGCTCTTAACTGTCAACCCATCTGGGAGATGCTAACAGTCCTCCTTGATGGGGTCTGTCTCCACAGCCAGTGACTTTCTGGTTTTGTTTTAAGGCCAAATTATTTGGAGCAGAAGAGCTTATATTCTAGAACAGCAGAAGTCAGTCCGTTGACAAAGACGACACAGTGGCTCTTCACTGGCTTCTAACATAAAGGAAATCTAGGGGCCCGCAGACGCTCTTTTGACCAGGTGTCACCTCACTGGCTGCTGCGTGGGGAGCAGGGGCTTCCCATGCTTGGCCCTGTGTGACATGTTTAGTTCCAATTTCAACTTCATTTTTTAAGAAATTGTGACTGATCTGGTAGTTCACACCTGTAGTCCTATACACTTGGGAGCCTGGAGCAGGAAAATTGTGAGTTTGAGTTAGCCCAGGTAGGAGACACACACAGGCTCCTTCTGAAAGGGGAAAAGGAAAAGGATGTTTTGACAACAAAAAATGAACTTTTTATAATTAAAAGTATTTTAAAATCTGACAGAAGTGTTACTTTTTACTTTCTTTTCTTGTTTGTTTTGTTTTTTTTGTTTGTTTGTATGTGTGGGTTCTTGTTTTTGTTTTGTTTTTTTGGTGTGTGTGAGACAGGGTTTCTCTGTGTAGCCCTGGCCATCCTGGAACTCAGTGGACCAGGTTGGCCTCAAACTCAGAGATCCGCCTGCCTCTGCTGGAACTAAAGATGTTCGCCACCACCACCTGGCTTACTTTTACCTTATTAAAGGAGACTAGTTCAGAGTTGGCTGCCAACATGTAGATGAATTAATTGCTCACTGCTTCAACAGCATATTCAGAGTGTTTTGGATGCATCCTCAAATCTGAAATCTATGTTGGATTGCTGACCTTCCTTATGGATTGCTTAGCTGTGTTTCTGTCTGACAGTTGTGTCCATCATCCCGGTGCTGCAGAGGACCCTCCATTATGAGTGCGTTGTTCTGGTGAAGCAGTTCCGACCCCCGATGGGTGGCTACTGCCTGGAGTTTCCAGCAGGTGAGTAATGCCAGGTCCTTTGCCTGAGACTGAGCATCGCATTGCTTATGTCTTAACATCTTTTCATCTGTCCACGTGGCAAATGTTCAAGTGATAAACATGTCTAAGGCTAGGGAAATGGCGTGGCAGTTAAAGAACTTGCAATGCAAGCAAGAGGACTTGAGTTTGGGATCCCTAGAACCCCATGTCAGAGACAAGTAGGTAAGTTGAGACTTACCTGGAATTCCAACCTCCAGAAGGTGAACAAGGGGATCCCTGAACAAGCTAGCTAGAAGACTAGCCATATCAGTGAGCTGTAGCTCTGACTGGATAGCCTTGGGCAGAAGAGTGATTGAGGAAGATTCTTACATCAACTAGTCCTCAACATGCACACACACAAATATATAAAAAGAAAAAACAAACAAGCAAACTATATTTCTATAATGAGGCTCCTTCAAGCCCTGGTCACGTTTGGGGTTAGGCAAACCATGTACGTGATGTGAAGCTCAGTGGCCACAGCCCCTTCCACACAGCTCACGATCCTCCGTCTCCCAGTGACTGCTGCCCTTCATTTATCAATGAATTGCCCCTTCTGTTACTACCAGTCTTTCACTCACAAGAATTTTACAGTATCAGTAGTTCAGAATGTGAATGGCAAAAGTCGTAACTAGAAGACACTAATCTGCCATAAACAAACGGGGCAAGGAAACTGTCTTGATTTTATCAGGTATTTTCCAGTTTCACTGTAAAGAAGCCACCCGGAATTTGGTACACAGTATTATTGCAATTTATTGGACTGTACTCATGAAGGAATGAATAAACCCCATGTATTTATCAAAAGTGACATTCTTTACAGCCAGTTTCATGAAGCTCACTAGGGTTTAAGTGCAGTGTTTACCCAGCATACATAAAGCCCTGTGCTCCATTCCCAGGACTAAAGTGGAAAAGCCCACTTCACAGCAATATATAGTAAACTAGTTTCTTTCTCACTTGCCATTTTATTAAGACATTAATAACACTGAAAGTAATTTAAAAATTTAATAACCTAAATTTTACTTGTTCTTTACACAGTTGTATTCCATTCAGGAAAATGAACCTGAGTTTTTACTTTCTCCATGTTTTGACTGTCTGGTCTCCATAGCAACTGTAGTAAAGGCCTACTGCACAACCTTCAGGGCACTTCCTCCTGACACTTCATTGCTGGGTCTCAGGATTTTTTTGTGAGGAAGGAAAGTAAGATAAGTAAATGGTTACCACACCAAAAAATGAAACAAAAAGAATCAGCCTCTTGTGCTAGCTACAGTCAGTCACGTAACTAACTGGCTCCAAAACCTAGGCTGTTTGGCCCCCACCAAATCGTCTTTCCTCACAGTGCTGCCCCTCTTGTACAGTACATGGCTGAGATGTTCATGAAAACATCTAGATGTAAGCAAGAGGCAGGAGAAACACCTACCATAACCTGCTTGGTATGCAAGGGTCACCGTGACTTTCCTAAGTCGTCTCCTTACCAACTGTTAGAAAGATGTTCAAAGAACTGGCGTCCCATCTGTCCTCCAGGGCTCATCGACGATGGGGAAAGCCCAGAAGCAGCTGCTCTTCGGGAGCTAGAGGAAGAAACTGGCTACAAAGGGGATGTTGCTGAATGTTCTCCAGGTTTGTTTTCCTTTTCAGATGTCAGTTTCTTAAACATTAATGAAACAGGGCTTCTGTATGGTTGGAGTGCAGGCAGAGAGGGACCAGGGATTTAGAGTGGTTTCCAGGCATGCGCAGTGATGTTTTTAATTCTAGTCCTCCATGGCTGAGGAAGGGGTGTAAGACATGAAGGTCAGCACGGGCTATACAGTAAGACAGTGTTTCAGTGCTCCTTTACCCCAAATTAAAAAGGGGGTTCTCCACCTGCAAGTGAACTGCTCTTCTGCATGAGAGCAAGTTAGAGAACTGAAATTGAAAAATTATGAAACCAAGTTGTCTTCAGTGCATAGCAAACCTGGCTACCTTCTTCCCTGTGTGTGCCATGCTCCTCGCTCGGGTTGTTCGTCCCCATCAGAACATCTAACCCCTCAGACTTCCCGGCTGGTGCAGGGACTCCAGGAACTCTGAGAGCTTTTGGAGCGCATACACATTCTACAAGCTGGTAGCATCTGCTGACTAGATACGGATCAAATGAACCCTGAGCCTCACCTCTTCTGTGACATTTAGTGAAACAAGTAAGCACTTGCCTCATTTCTTAAGACGAGTTGTCACTTTTCTCAGCTGTGTGCCTGAATCCGGGCTTGTCGAACTGTACCGCACATGTTGTGACAGTGACCATCAATGGAGATGATGCTGCAAATGTAAGGCCGACGCCCAAACCAGGTAAGGGTATGCTGGATGCATTTAAGCGGGTTGAGCTGCATTGAGTATCTTAACTCGCTAAAGCAAGCATAGTATTCACTGGAAGAATCATAGTGTGCCACAGGTTCTTTGTGGATACTTGTCTGCTTCCCAGTGTTGATAGGTATTTTGACATATTCTCTTTATTTAGCATTTCATTGATCTTTTATGTGTTTTGTTTTTATAAAATGTTAAACTATAAAAGTTATAAGATATTGTTTGATTTTATAAAATGTTCAGTGTCCATTTTTTTGGCATGTGTGTGTGGAAAATTGATTCCTATTTAATGAGATACAGGCCCAACTAGAAAGTAAGAAACTTTAAAATCGCCTTGGTTTTTGTCTTCATGTGTAAGAACAGCAGGTGTTAAAGGCTGCAGCCTTTATTCAGCCAGTTTTATATTTAGAGAGTTTGTAAGGTTAGTCTTTGCACTAAAATATCCCCTAGCAAGTTGGGGCCCGAAGGTATTAAGATGCTGTCAATTCCCTGTCTTTTTCTCCACCCCTTTGAAGGTGGATTAATAGGTGGATGAATTATCAGTACACATGGTTATCAATACACACACACCATAGTAAATCATGTTTGGTAATTTCTTATCCTTGTAAATTACTCCTGCATATGCTTCATTACCTCTTGCAGCCAGTTTTAAATGCTTAGTTGTTTAAGCTGCATATATTCATAAGACATGGAAGAATTCCAACTTTCAGTTTGGGGTGGTAAAAAATTGTGAGCTTAAGGGTGGTAATGTTTGCATAACTCGTATTTAATCGTGCTGAATTTTATTTAAAAATGGTTAAAATGATAAATTTTCTATTGTGAATTTGTCCACAGGTATAAATGTGGCAAACATGCATTACAGGATATACTTTAAATTTTTCTGTGAAATGTTTGATTTGGAGAATAACAATGTTATACTATTGAAGTTGACTTTACCATGATATATTTAGTAGTCTTGGGTTTCTGTTAGATTCTTCTCTAGTTTTTATACTTGCACTGAAGTCTTCCAAAGGCTTGCCCCAGCAGGCTGTACTAAAATATAAGTGTTCTTCCCTCTTTTTATTTGCAGGGGATGGAGGTATGTTATTCAGCTCCCGTGGCTGGCCCTGTGATGGCTTAGTGTAGTGGTAATGACAGCGGCAGACTTTGGGGCTGTTGGGGTTCACCCCTGTTCAACGTTATTTTCACTGCATTCTGTTTGTTTAGAATTTGTGGAAGTGATTTCTTTACCAAAGAATGACCTACTGACTAGACTGGACGGTAAGCACCTTAAGGTTATTACCCAGCCTTCTCTTGGTTCCCTGTCCCCATTTCTGTCCACTAGGACATTAGTGTAATTCCCTCACCTTCATCTCATTAATGTCAGACACCGAAAAACTTTGAAAACTACTGTTGACCAATGCTAGTTTTCTTTTTCAAGTGATATACAATTTGAAATTTAAGAAAAAGATTCTGTGTTGAGGGAATGCTTTAATAGGGGCCTTTTTAAATTTCCCTACATAATAGTGATTATTTTCCTGCTGTCTAACCAAAACTATTGAGTTCTTAAGATCTTTGATCGGTATCAGTGCCAAGGTATAAATATGTAGTCCAGCTGTACTGGTTAGTGTATTAGATGGTCTTTGTGGACAGTCAAGTTAAATCAAGTTAAACTCTGACAGCAGCCCTCCAGCATATACTTGACTGAGAAGCTGATAGAATGAACCTTAGTAAGTCAGGGTCAGTTGGTTAGATCAGCCCATCCCACAAAGACAGTGCAAAAATCCTGTTAGATATTGGTAGACCTTCCATAGATCAATTTACTGAAGAGGTTGACACGGGTACTCCTCTGTGCCCAGCTTTGTGGACCGCTATTCACTCATTTGTGAAGAAGCAGAGCCTTTCATGATCCCAATTTTTTTTTATAAGATCTCTTTCAGGAAATAGATAACTTATTTCTGCTATGGTTTTTAAACAATTACTTTGGAGATTAACATAAAATAACAAGTATTCACTGAGCTAAAACTGTAAGAATAGTGCTTACTTCCTCCCATACCAGTGACTTATGGCTTCCCTTAAGCAGAGAGCTCTATTTTGAAATGTCTGTTACTGTTTAAAAGTTAAGTGACTATCTTTCAAAAAACTATGGTTTTATATTCCCAGACAGCTTCAATTTCTTCACCTTTTCAAAAACTAGACCTGAGATAAAAATCATCTGAATACCTCAAAGTCAAATTAAGTGCCATCATTTATTCAGAAAAGGCATGGCAGCCAATATTAGGCAGTACAGCTAATGATCGGACAGGCCTGGTGAGTTTGAGGCTCTGCCACCATTATCATTATGTTACTAGTTTCTTGTTTTCTTGAATCGAGTAAGCCTCTTCCTGTGAGGATGCATGAGAAAATTTAGACAGGTAATGCAGGCAAAGTACTTAGCCCCCAGGTGCTTAATTAATAGGTGATAAATACTTTGTTTATAGAATATCCTTTATAGGGTTCTTTCTCTCATTCACCTGACTTCCCTTCTGGTCTTAGGAGGGGATAATTCAGCAAGAAAGAAAGGAGGGTGAAACAACCAATTTACCTAACCAGTATAATCAAACTACAGGAATCAACATTCATGTTGGTTTGTTACAGAGTGACATACACTTCTGCTGTACACAGGTGAATAGGACATGACCCCTGACCTCGAGGATCAGTCCTTTGAGCTTATTCCCAAATAAGTGGCTAGGAGACACTGGGCCAGTGAGATGGCTGCATGCTGTCCTGATGGGATATTTGTGTCGCTACCTTTAATCCTTTACTGTGTTAATTTTAGACTGTGTCCCCAGCATCTAGTATAGGAACTGGCATACACTGTGAACAGTGACTCTCCAGACTCTCCTGCCGTCATCTCTAAACTGTCATCTTTGCTTCCTTAGCTTTGGTAGCAGAAGAACATCTTACAGTGGATGCCAGGGTCTACGCCTACGCTCTGGCACTGAAACACGCGAACTCGAAGCCATTCGAAGTGCCCTTCCTCAAATTTTAAGGCCAAGAAGGACACTGGCCATGTTTTGTAAATGAGACCATAAGGCCTTAACTGTTCAGTGTATTCAATTAAGTTTAATGTAGATCGGAAATCAGCTTTTTCATAAAATAAAAGCAGCCCAGACTGCATGTGGCATGGAATTATAATTACAGAGAGGATGTAGCCTTCATTTAAACTTGTTAATGCTCATGAGAAAGAACATAAATGTAGGTATGTATGTTAAGATTTCTTAAACTTCACCTAGTCTAGAAGGTGAGGGTATATCTCAGGAATAGATTTGAGCTCCAAATTAGGTCGGCTATTTCCATCCTCAACTTCTAAAATAAAAATTATGTACTTAGGTCTGCAAATAGCTATTTATTAGATTCAAAATAAGATTTTGATTAGATTTCGAAATAAGAGGGTTAGGTTTTGTTTTGTTGAGACAAGGTCTCACTCTGTAGCTCTAACTGGCCTGATACTTGCTTTGTAGCCCAGTCTGCCTCTGAACTCCTAGAGATCCTTCACCTGTCTCTGTCTCTCCAAGTGCTAGGATTGAAGGTATACACCACCACACCTGGCCAAAATAAGATAGGGAGTTAATTGGCCTCTCCTAATTCTAATTGATTTGCCATATGGAATTTGGGTACTTTAAATGTAAAGTCAACAGAGAATAACATTTGCAGTAAATATTTAGCTACTTGTGGTACATGCTAGTAATCCACCCTCTTGGGAGGCTGAGGCAAGAAGATCATAAATGTGGCCAGCCTGGGCTGCATAATGAAACTTTATCTCAAAAATAACTTTTAAAATGTATTTGATATCCTTGTAAGGCCATTTAATTCCTAAAACATGCCAAGACTAATGCTTCTGTAGTGAACATGGTTAACTCTTAATATATTAAAGGCTAAGCTAAGAGACTGAAAACTCAGGACCCTTCCTGCAAGTGTGCATATACTTTAATTTCCTTTTCTTACCTCAGAAAATTGTCTACTAAAGCTAAATCCATATGAAGATTGGCATTGACTCCACATGTATATTGATGTATAGGGAGATATATTAGCCAGCTATCTGAAAGGTAAAACTATACTGGGAATGCAACAATGGTTTCCATCCAGTGCATGGAAAACTCATCAGCCAAGAGTTCTGCCAGTGTCCTTGTTGTGATGACTACTTCGGCAGTTCAAGGATTGTTGTTCACTATGTCTGCAGCTGGATCCAGGTTCAAGGCAAACTCTCTGAACTTACAAAAGTGGTTTATCCATGCCCAGTCAGGATCCATGCTAAGTGTTATCACCGACAGGTATTTTTATGAAAAAGTATAAGCTCTTTCTACAAATCTTTATATTGGACTTCTTGAGGATGGAAATAATTCTGGAATTTTATAAACCAAATCTGCTTTCCTAATGAATGTGAAAATTAAAACCCACCTTTTTATACAATAGTAGCCTTCCCTATGATTTTAACACAAAAAAAAACCAAAAAAACCTTGTTTTCTAATCACATTATGATATTTCTCCAAAGATACTAGTTTTCCCATGCATTCCCCAGGATCTTTCTTTCCCCATGTTGCTTCCATCCTCTGAAATGAAGACACAGGCTCCATACATTCATCCTCTCCGTGGGGCAACTCTAGAGCCAGGTGCAATAGGAATGGCCTTTGGTATTGGCCAGGACACATTTGTCCCATTCTCCCTGGCCTTTGTGTCTCTTTCTTCTAGGAGTATAACTGAGCAAACGGCTATCTCCTAGAATTGTCCTTAGTGCCATCTGTACTACCTATGCACCTCAGAAGGGCCTGCCATCTGGCATCTTCACGCCTCCCAAAATGGTTATTTGCCTACATTTCTAAGGAAGCTGCCCTTTTGCATCCCTCAGTAAACACACAGAATGGGTCCTAATGCCCCAGGGTGTTTCTGGTGCCTGACTTCACTCACCACTGTAGTTATCTGACTTCATGATCCAAGCTAAGTCAGTACTACCTCCCATTCCAACTAAGGAAATCAGTGATTAAAAACTGTACTTCTGAAAATAACTTAAAAATTAAATTTGATAATTTTTTTTGGAAAATAAAGTATACACTCTGAAAATGCTAGGGTAAGTTTTGAGATACTTTGCTTGTCCCTTTCTGCATGAGCACCCTTCAGCTGCCACTGCCCTTCAGGAATTTAGAATTGAATTATGATTACATCTAATTTCTTTAAGCCTATCTGGATGGTTTCCATAGAAAATACAATGAGCCTACAAAAATAATCATAGAGAACATTTAATACCACATCTCTTTATTTTTCCAACACAACTGCAACAGTTTTATTAAATAAAACTTTATTGTCTACTGTTTACATTTGGGTCCTGCTATGCATGTAAGAGACAAAGTCCTAGTTTGAATTATTCATTGTTCACTTCCACTCAACTACAGACACTGCTTGAGAACTGGATCTTGCTTAGGGACTTGGGGAAAGGAGAAGTACTAATGGTCATCACACTGAGTGCTGGAAGGAGAAGGCATAGCCGATGCAGCTGGACAGCACTCATAGCCTTCACTGGGAGAAGAGGATGAATGAAAAGCAGGAGGAATTAGAAACAATTGTTTCCAGTGACAGAAATAACTTCAATGTTTGACTTTTGCCCATCCAGGCTGAGTGGCAGTTTGGAGATAGGACAAATAAAGAGGGGTTGGGGCTGGTGAGGGAAAGTCAAGAACATGGATACGATGAGTTAAAAAAGTATAAAAATTATCTAAAATATACATTAGATATAAATGCTCCATAACTCATTAGGGAAGCTCAAAAATACTGGAAAGTGGCAATTTGCACTGTTTATTTTTAAACAAGGGAATATTCAGTGTTCTGAATGTTGTGTGCAAAGCTAATCCATGTCACTGTCTTGCTGTCTGACCAACAGCTAAGCAGACACACTGCGTCCCAGCGTCACAGGCAACACTAGATGGACGGTGCCAACAAATAATGTAAACTTCAGTTTTAAGGCAGCTGGTACTAATGCTGCACACAGGCTTAGCTTGATGCCCATTTCAGAAATGGGACAGTTAGCACTAAAGACAACAGACTGAGGGAAGAAAAGGGAGTCCGTGTTATTTGACAGAAACAGTATGTCAAAATATTTTCCCTTTCATACACGCAAAGAAATATATGAACATTTAGAAAAACAAAGCACCCATCCCTCCAACTTCAGCCTGTTCCTTAACAAATATTTCAAAATACTGATAAATAATAGTGACTGCAAGTAGAATCCCAGTGCCAGAGCCAATGGCCCCAAGGAAGTCTGCTAATACCGACAGGGCACCAATGCACAGGCCCCCAAAGGCAGCTGCTGTGGGGATGTACCTGAAAGACAAAAGAACTTCAATCAGGCAGTAGGGAAACAGGGAAAGAAAACACAACAGCTAGAAGCAATGTAATGTCTAGTTTTGCTCAAAATGGTTCCCTCTAAAGAGATACAAACTAGTCAGAACAGGTCCTCGCTACTGAGACACTGTCCTCAACAGATGGGAAACTGATTAAGGCAATGATATTGAAACCCCAGATTTTAAAAATAATAGCAATTTTTAGGACAGAGGATTAAATTTTGGACTGAAATTTAAGCATTATTTATTATACAAATGGAGCATATATTTTGTGTGTGTATACATATTTACATGCATACATATGGATATATATGTACAAAATATGCTCTATGTATAAAACATAGTGTATGCTACAGTGAATATATAGTACATATATTTTTTCAGACATGTATCTATAGCCTCAAATTGGCCTAGAACTCGGCAATCCACCTGCTTCAGCTTCCCCAAGTACTGTGATTAATAAGCTACCACACCTAACTAAAATTTGGGGGTTTTGTTTGTTTGTTTAGACTGAATCTCATGTAATGAGGGTTGGCCCTGAGCTCATTCAACCCCCACTTCAGGAATTTCAGGATCAATGAGACATGTGCCATCACATCTGGCTAAAATATGCACTATTCTTAAGCAGGTATCCTTAAGTTCCCTCTTGTAGGGTAAAAAAAAAAATTCAAACCAGGCACATATATACACAGGCAAAACATTCATACACATAAAATAATTTGAGATAGGAAGACTAGGGCCAGTTTAAGAAACTGCTGAACAAATGAACAATGCACACACAACTGGGTTTTGTTGTACTGGCTTGGTGCTCATAAGGTAGACAGCCCAGGCTGTCCTTGAACTCGCAGCAATCTTGAGTCTCCCAAGTGCTCAGGTTAAAGGTGTAAACTATATATTTCAAACTGTATATTAAGTGATACAATAAAGCTGTCACTGAAGACCAAATACCTGATGCCTGAGAACAAATCCTATTTCGTGAATGTGAGGGTCCCAGGGTCTTAGAATTTCCCTGGTAGCTCATGAACTACTAATATGCATTACGTTAACACTGGGGTGAGCAATGGTAGCACAGTTTCAATTTAAAATTATATAAGCTGCCTAAACAAAGCCTTAACAGGAACAACACCAGTAGACTTGCTGACATAGAAGGGACCCAACCCTAGACAACTACAGGCAACTAAGGAACTGAGAGCAGGAGAAAACAGCCTTCCCCAAGGAAGAGCCTCAACTGGTTATCCAATACCAAATGGTTAGCTCTAAAATCATGTATATTTATCATGAAACATAAAGACTGAGCAGATTTTATATATATATAATGTATATAAATGTATAAATTTATGAATGAATATAGATACACACTTCTTTAGGAATGTAAGATACTGTGAACTTGAGAGACAGCAGGTGGGGGGAGTACACTAGAGGGGGAAAAGGGGAAAATGGTATTTTCAAAATATAATTTTTAAAAAGATTATAAAAGGGCCAATTCTTATGTGGAGAACAATTAAGACGTAGTTGATTTTAGTTCTCTTGCGAAGAGTAAAAAACTGAATTTGAATAAATCAATGTCCCTTAATGATCAAAGAAATGACTTTATGAGCGTACCTGTTCAGCTCATGGACCATGGAGGTGTCTCTGTGGCCTCTCATCACCATCTGCTGCTCTTTCAGCTGCTTAGCCACCTGGCCAGAAAGAAGACTTGAAATAGTGTGTGTCCATTCTGTTGCTTTCTGTACTAGAAGAGCCTCAACACTGGTACTGTATCGCTCATAGTAAACACAGGGAAACAGGTTTCGGTGCTGCCAA